TTACGGAAACAGCCGCACGGAAGAGGCGGTGAGGTGGGTGTTTTTCATCTGCTGTGGACTACCGGAGAGATATACAGCAGGAGAACACGCCGTCCACCGCGGAGAACAAACAGAAGGGCAACCATGGCAACCATGCTCTGGGGTCTTCTTCACTGCTTTTGGTGTATTTCGGGCGGCAGCAGCGCCACTTACAGGCCTCGTTTCCAGCATTTCCAGCGGTCTAGTGTGAACGGACACGTTAATGAATCGAATGCGTGTGAACGGAAGCTTTTTTTGCGCTTGCGTATGCGTTTTACCGTATGCGTCCTCGTGGGGCCGGGGTCTAAGCCAAACTATACCCGGTCACAGAGATCTGCTATTTTAAAGTAAAGTCAACACATATCGACCCTAAATATAGTCTATATTAAGAACGAGAAAAGTCATAACATATATATCCTTTTTTGTAAACATATGACAAATGTGTGAGGGTGATGACGTCAGAGCATCGTCCTATGTGCCNCTGTCAGCGTTTCCAGCAGTTTCCAGGGTCTTTGTGTGAACGACACGTTAAGTGTATCGAATGGCGGTGTGAACTGAAAGACTTTTTGCGGTGCGTTTTCGTATGCGTTTTAACGGTATGCCGTCCGTCGTGGGGCCGGGTCTAAGCCGAAAACTTATATCCGGTCACAAGAGAATCCTGCTATTTTAAAGTAAAGTCAACACATATCGACCCTAAATATAGTCTATATTAAGAACAAGAAAAGTCTTAACATTGTTTTTTGCGAACATATGACAAATGTGTGAGGGCTTAGCCCCGGACAGCCCCAGCCCAATTTAACCCCTGGGTATTTGTGAGGGAGCTCCTATATGGCATTACCCCGCTGAAGCTCAGCAAAGTTTAATATATTTCATAGTTCAAAGTTTTGTCAATTGTTTTGTTTATTGGTCAAATACTGGTTTCTAATGGTTTCTGAGGAGTTTTACTGGAATGAAAGAGCACAGGTCTACAGAAGCAACAAAGCAGCATACTGCATTAAACCTGACCTTCACAGAGAGGTTGAAGTTCATGTGGAAAGGAGGCTTCAGTAGTCTGTCTGCACTCTGTTTAGTTGTGCTATCTTACAATCAATATAGTAAATGTGAGGTAAAGTGTGTCGCCAATGTAACCGGTTAGAACTTGAAGTTGCGATGAGGTCTTAACATGTATGGAAAGGGTCTTGAAAAAGGTCTTAAAAGGTATTAAATTTGACTTCAGGATTCCTGCATATACCTATTAATTGGACTCATTTATTCTGGTTTTGTCAAACAATCGTGCTTGGCGTAGTGGCTTTCTGCAGAAATTGTCGGTAGCTTGTCAAAAATCATTTGTTAGCATAAATTCAAATCTTTTTATCATTACATATCTTTTCTTTCGCATCAAACGATACCATGTTGTTCAAGATATGTAAATAATTTCGTCTCAGCAGAGATGATCTTTTAAGTACAAAAATAAGGCTTTAGTGTTCAGCAACACCCTCAGAAACGTTCTTAGCATTTCTTATGCTTTTATATGTGATATATCTAGCTTGTTCTTCCGTTTCTTGTTTGCAGATGACATCATTTGGCCGGAAGGAGACGATGCCCTGCCTGCTGAAGCCCAGGATCTGATCACCCGCCTGCTAAGACAGAGTCCTTTAGACCGACTGGGAACTGGTACTGCTCAGTTTACTGCTGATTATCACATGATACAATTATAATGACACTGAAAGAAAAAAGCAAATTACCTTTGTCAAAATGGATAAACTAACTTTTGGCCCTTTTTATTGAATACATGTTGCCACTTCTATTGAAGTCACATTTTTTTTATATTTCCAGTATTTGATTGGCTCTAACAAAAAAGATGTGTGTTTGCAGGCGGAGCCTCGGAGGTCAAACAGAACCCTTTCTTCTTTGGTTTGGACTGGAATGGACTCCTGAGACAGAAAGCTGAATTCATCCCGCAGCTGGAGGCGGAGGACGACACGAGCTACTTCGATAGTAGGTTTAATCCTGACTCCAGGCTTAAAGAGTTGGTTTCCTCCTACATTTAAAACACTTTCACAACTCTTTTGTGATGTAAAAATGTTTTAAAAGGGATAAATGAAAACTACTTTATGTTTTACTAAAATATGAACGTTCTCTTGTTCCGGTTTTCAGCTCGTTCAGATCGTTACCATCATTTGGCATCAGACGAGGATGAGGAAACCAATGATGAAGAATCTTCCTTGGAGATCAGGCAGTTTTCATCCTGGTCGCATCGCTTCAGCAAGGTAAATAATAATTCATTCTATTTAGAGGCGCCTTTCAAAGCAAGGACAGTGCAGCATGTGTTGAAAAAAAAGGGTTAAAATATTTGTATAAAACCAATGTGTGCTAAAGATGTTTACCATGCTGTGAAGAAATCGAGTTAAACTGTCATATGTTTAGAACCAAATGGTGGGGGTTGTGATATGACTGCTTTATGCAGCTCAACATTATCTGAAAGCCCTTCAATACTCAGCTCAGCTTTCGATCCAACACCCTCTCTCCATTTCAATCTTTCAGGTTTACAGCAGCACAGAACATCTGGCCACGCCATCCAACCTGAGCTTTTCCTCCGACCGCAGCCACAGCGAGGACAAAGAGGACCGCGGGGACGTGGGGGGACTGAGTCCCTGCCCGGGCACAGCAGAGGGCAGCGCCGAACGCAGACACGCCGGGCGCATGGCCAGGTAGGAGATACAAAATAATATGTCAAAATCATTAGGAAGAGATTTCACTGATAGTGACAACAAAATGTAATGAAACATTCAATTTGGGCTGTTTTTAAATAGCATTGCTTACTTTCTCCTGATAAATCATGATATATAGCCTACATTAGTTAGTATATTAGTGTAAATATTGGTATAAATATTACCCTATTAATAATAATGTTGCAACAAACTTCCAAATAACTCATATGCTCTCAATAAAATATGTCAATAAAACACATTGTAGGCTAAGTTGCAAAATCGTAGAATCAGCATTTTGATGATTAAAACAACATGAGAAGGCTACACTTACAAAGTAAATGTATTCAGTGATGCAAATTAGTCGCTTTTCGGCGCCTCCCGCTTTTCTAACGCTGATTTGGGTGACTTGTGTAATTCGTGGAGAACCGAAGAGTTTTTGTTTGGGGGGGGGTCCGTCAGTCCGTCAGTCCGTCCGTCCGACTGACGGACCTGGGACGCGGACGAACTTCTCACTTCAAAAAAGAAGATAGAAATCTAGATCAGCAAATAATTAACAAGCGAGTGCTTGTTTTTCCTGGGCCAAGGAACCAGGTTCATTGAACACAAACACGAGCGTAACGCTGTCCCCTCTCCCCATAGGCTTCACGTGGTTGGATAGTGTCCGTTGAAAGGGAGTAACGGAAGCATCCGGAACGCTGCTTCAGCTATTAAAATATTGCAGTACCTAAAAGCAAGCGAGCCGTACACATGCCGGCAGTGTTTGCGAGGCTCGTGTCTTTAAGTTGGTATAGCACAAAGTGGCGATCTGTTGTTATTAGCATCTGGTTAGCTAGCTATGCTAACGAATTTAAAGAGCTTTTCTACAACCAGGTGGAAGAGAGCTCTCCTGAGAGGCTCAAATAACCTCAGCTCAGTGAGGTTAAGGCACACCTTGATATGATCATTATAGTTATTAATGAGAAATTAGAGACTCAATTATTAACAGGTATAAAATACTATATGACAGTAACAAAAAAAAGTTGTTAAAAATAACAAGAATAGAGTTTGAAAGGGGAGTGATTTGTAAAATATCCCAAAAGAAAAGTCTGTCATTGTCAGATGGTATATTACGCTGTTTTTTTTCTGCTTCGAATAGTTCTCTCTTTTTTCACCATACCTGTGTTTGCATCACTGTGTATTAACTAGAGCACTAATAAAAACAAGGCACTATCGAAATGCTAAATGTATTTTGAATTCAATTGGTAAGACTGTAAATTCTTAGTTTGGGATATCCTCAGTTGCTAGGTTACATGCAAAGTTGCTGTTAAAAAATGTAATCATGCCTAAAGGCATTGTCATGGGTTTGTGTGAAAGCAGCTGGCAGTCAGTACACTGAGCTGTTGTTGTGATCACTCTTGAACCAGTTGATTTACTGGTTGAACTGGTCTCTGTCTGTTTGCAGCCTGCGCCCTCGGGCTTCCTCCAGCTCCTCCCAGTCTGAGAGGAGCACCAGCCCTCTGGTGATGAGCAGCACCCACAGCCTGGAGACCATGCCCCGCTTCGCCCTCTCCACTGATGATGAAGGTAAATCCAGACTGACTGAGTGTGTCTGACATTGAATCCACAACATGTATTAGTGCCCCTGTTTGAAGCAACAGTGTTTTTATATATTGTTTATGTTTGACTGTAACCTGCAGCTGAGGTGGTCGTGTCAAACCTTCGGAGGATCAGGATACGCAGCAACAGCACCGGGGCCAAACACTCGTCCCCCAAAGAGCCGACCGGCCCTCGACGTTTCGGTAACCAGCTGGAGACGCCGGACAGACAGAGGCTGCCCTGCGGAGGGAAGGTTCCCAAATCAGCCTCCGTCTCAGCCCTGTCCCTCATCATCACTACAGGTAGTGAACATCAAAACTCATCAGTCAACTCTAACCAAGACAGAACTAATGTGACAATAAGTCACTGATGCTACATGTTACATCTCTTATAATGTTGGTTACCATGGATGTAAACAGGCCTATATTTAGAACATAATGAAAGTGACTAATAAAATAGGATTCCACCCCTTGAACAGGACAATATTCATTAACCTTTTATTCTAAAATCCCCTTTCTGAGGTAGTAGGCGGTGCCTTTTGACATATTCATAGGATATTGATGGTTTGTTTGTTTCAGACGACTCGCCCAGCGGCCTCCAGCCCAGTCCCATCTCCCCTCGCTCTCTGTCCTCCAACCCTTCATCCCGGGACTCCTCCCCCAGCCGGGACTTCTCCCTCAGCCCGGGCAGCCTGAGGCCTCCCATTATCATCCACACCTCCGGGAAGAAGTACGGCTTCACCCTGCAGGCCATCCGGGTCTACATGGGCGACAGCGATGTCTACACAGTGCATCACATGGTGTCGGTGGGTGTCAAAATACGCAGCTGTGCTCTGCTGTGCTATGTGTCCATGTCAAGTAATGTGCTCTACTTAGGCCTGTGAGGGTAGTTACGCTATCAACTCTTCATACGAGTAATGGTTATGACCTTAATATTTATAACATTTTTGACTAAATATCGATATTGCAACGTTATTTTAGTGTTTACTATTCGAAGTTTCACAAAATAGGGATATCTTGTGAATAATTATCAGTCATGTCGATATAATGATTAAGTGGCAAAGATACATAATAAAGCGACTAGAATAGACAGTACACTAGTTATCCCTACCTTTTTTAATTACTTTAGAAATTGCACATTTCTGTTATATGACCTAAGAGTACATTTTATTTAGTATTTTGATTTTGTGGTATTATTTTATTTAAGTTGTATTTACTTAGGATATTTTAACACCTTAATAATTAAAAGTTTACATTATAATGCTATTACATCTTCATGATTTAACATGGGATAAAATGGTGTTGAAATAACTAATATTGTTTTTATCACATTTGATAACTAAAGTAGTTATTGTGACAGGCCTAGCTTCACTATAATAACAGAAGAAAGAGTATAAAAAAGCTGTTTATGTAATAGTCCCAATAAACTCCTCTCCTTACCCTCACTGTGCTGCTGTTTGACAGAGTGTGGAGGAGGGGAATCCAGCGTACGAGGCAGGGCTCCGCACTGGAGACCTCATCACCCACGTCAACGGAGAGTCGGTCCAGGGCCTGGTCCACCCTGAGATGATAGAACTGCTACTGAAGGTACAACAACTCACTCAACACTGGTTACCACTGCGCTTGAAATTCATACTAAAGTTTCCCTTTGCCCGTATCACAATTGATTCCTTCATTGCTCTGTATGAAATTTGCAGAGTGGCAACAAGGTGTCTCTTCAGACCATAGCACTCGAGAACACGTCAATCAAAGTGGGTCCAGCGCGGAAGACCAAACACAAAGGGAAGATGGCTCGTCGCAGCAGAAAGAGCAAGAGGAGAGATAATTACGACAGGTGAGAATCTGAGGTTTACGTTCTGTGTTGTTCCCTGCAGCTCTGCAGTGTTACTCATCGTTTGTTTACTTTGTGAGATTGCTAAATGGTGGATGTCCCTCTTGTGTTACACACCGGGAAGTGAAGTTTAGCAGCAACTCAGTATTACTTTGATCTCACTCACTGCAAGGTTTGGTCTATTATACTGGAGAATATTTTCTCCCAACAGTTCTACAAGAACAGAAGTGTTGTAAGGGCTTAGAACATTATTAAATAAATACACAATGCCCATCCCTGTCCGGTTTTATGTTTCATAAGTTATTGTAGCCATGTTTGGGTTGATACCACTTGTTACAATGTAAAACACCTTAGAAAATAATATACTGTGTTGAAAAATAATGTGTGCAAGAACTGCTATTTGGATATGTGCTACAGCCTTTGAACGACTGTAATGAGATCAGGCTTGCCAAAAGGGCCTTCCAAATGTTAGGGGTTATACTAAAAACTTCTATCTACACATTAGAATAATATTTAGATTTTCTATAGATGCATTTTAAAATCAAGACAACAAACACAGATTCTTGAATCCCCTGCTAGGCCACAAAAACGTAAGACACACCTTCGAGCTTGGTGTCAGTGCCACCGCTGTACTAGCAAAAATAAACAATATCATATTCCTGACTCTATGTTCTTCCTCCAGGCGACGAAGCATCCTAAAGAAGCTGTCTAAGCAGAGCACAGTGATACACAGCAGTCGCAGCTTTAACTCGGGTCTCCACCACTCAGTGTCCTCCAGTGAGAGTCTTCCTGGCTCCCCAACACACAGCCTTTCCCCCGGCCCCGCCACGCCCTGCCGGAGCCCCGCCCCCGACCATCAGGCCTGTGGTGAGCAGTGTGGCCGCACAATTATTCATGATGAAGTTAAAAGAGTTCCTGACTCTAACATCTGAAAATGTATATTGAGTTGAGGCTCTTTTGTTGCAATATTAATTTCATAACATCCAGAGATCTAGTGCCATTGTAAGAATCTTACAACTGGCTGTGCGTAAATATGATTTAAATATTGAGGTTTCTTGGTCATCTGTATATTTGTCCTACTCTCTAGTGCTGGTTTATTTCTATTTCTATTTTGAGATGTTTATATTTTAGAATAGTTTATTTATTTTGTTATTATGTGCAATGCCTTGTGTTGTTTTATGCTGCTGCAACAAAAACATTTCCCAAATTGGGAGTAATAAAATACATCTTATCTTTCTGCCTCTTGTGACGTTCAATGTTTGAGACCGTTTCCCTCTGTTTCCCAGACAACAACTCTCCTCAGAGCACGTCTCCCTGCTCCAGCTCTCCCAGTTCTCCCGCAGCACACATCCGGCCCAGCTCTCTCCACGGCCTGGGCTCCAAACTCAGCACGCAGCGCTACACCAAGGCGGGCCGCCGGAAGTCAACCAGCAACATCCCCCCCTCGCCCCTGGCCTGCAACTCTTCCTCTTCCTCAGCCCAGCCTCTCTCTCCTCAGCGCTCTCCCTCTCCACTCTCAGGCTTCGCCAAAAGCTTTCACAGTTACCACGGCAAAACTCTGTCCCCCCCCACCATCGTCAGACATATTGTCCGGCCCCGCAGCGCCGAGCCCCCCCGCTCTCCTCTCCTGAAGAGGGTACAGTCCGCTGAGAAGCTGTCTGGTGTGTACCATGCTGATAAGAAGTCTTACACCCCCCGCCGGCACACGCTGGAGGTTCCGTTTTACGGCGAGGGGGACCTGCTGGGGGATTTGGAGGCTGAGGGGTCCTGTGGAGGGTCCTACATTGGTGTGGATCTCAGCAGGCTGGGGGGGTACATCGGCAGCCAGAGGTTGAGGGACTCTGGGATGGAACGATCGGAGCAGCTGGTCGTGATGCGAAAACTCAACCTATCAGAGCGAAGAGACTCTTTTAAGAAACAGGAAGCAGTGCAGGAGGTGAGCTTTGATGAGCCGGAAGAGAAATCCAGCACCCCAGGTCCGGGCGCCCAAACACAGCAACAGCAACATCGGCACGGGACGGCCTGGACCCTCACTCGACCCCAGACCAGCGTGGAGGTGGAGCCAGAGGTGCCGGTGGTCAGGAGGTTCACTCTGGTGCCCCAGATCGCCGTGCAGGGCTCAACAGAGAGCGAGCAGGATGAGTGGGAGCCGTGTTCAGACGGCGAGGACACCAACAACGAGACAGCAGTGCCGCAGGCGGGCGCCCCTTCCTCTCAGCCACAACAGGCAGGACGTCCTCTTTGTGACAACAGCTGCAGTCCGGCAGCAGACAGCCCCCCCACTGGTCCTCAGGTTGGTCCTTCCACAGAGAAGACTGAGTGCAGAGAGGAAACTCCACAACAAGGGCATTTGAAAAGTGACGACTCACCACTGCACTGACTTCAACTGCTCTCATCTTTTATTTGAAGTCTTTCAAAGTTGTAAAGTCATTTACAAACTTCTAATTGAGTAAGGAGATGATTTTACTTGAATTTTTTTAATTGTTCAAATTTGCCTCAAGGCATTGCAGACCTGCTGGTCTTATTTATTACATATATAAACTATGATGAGTTAGTAATGGTGAAAGAGGGAAGGTCTGATTTAAAGAGCCAAGGGTCAACATTTTTGTATCCATAAAATGTGGTTTTGTCTTTTGACTGGATTGCTTTTTGTATAAATGTCTATTTTTTAAATACATTGTTGCAGTACAGAGTAGTTTGATAATGATCAGCATAATTGTTGTAGGACCAAAAGGTACTAGTTTTTCTTTCAGTGTCAATTTAGATCTGAACAGTGCAGCTTTGAATAGGTTACTGCTATTCTATTGATCTTCAGAAACCTAAGGATGACCTTTGGTTCACACTGTGAGCAACATGGTTGATGTGTCAACGTCTCTATTGTCAGCTGTTGTATCTTTAATATACAACAATAATATGTTTTTGTTGCTGCTGCAGTCAAAGCTACCAAACCAGCATGAAAGGAAAAAACGTGTTACTCTCTTTTTGCACTCGTCAGACACTGTAGTTTGTGCAAAAATCACATTGGTGAAGAAAAGAGCTGTGCTATAGTTGTGAAAGATAAAGTTCTTCCATTTACTTGTTGGTCATGTTTCTTACGGTGTGAATTCGTGGTCACAGCAAACATTTCCTCGAGTTTATAACAGGTCAGTGCAGGGTAATATTGCACACAGAAAGTACAATCTGTTACATGATATAGTCGATTCAAAAAGGGTTTTATGTGCCACCAGTGCAGCGTCCTCTAAGCCATATCGTTAAAGGCAGAAATGTCAATGGATGTTTCTAAGTACGTGTTGTTTCCCGCTGGTATTGCAGTCTTGACAACATTTTCTGTAAATTGAAGTTCAGGATGAAGAACGCGACACACTTTGCTCTGTTGCTACTCGATATAATCTCAGTGTGATACCATATAGTAGAGGTAACTCAAACGTATATTTTTCTTGCTCACTATATGGAACCTTCAAACACAGATTCAGCATGGCTCCTCGTCTCGCTTGTTCTTCTCAAAGCATGCCATTTACTGGGGGGGAAATAGAGCAGCCAAATTGAAGTTTACGTCTTCTTCAAAGTTTTGTTGAAAGCATTTGAGTATTTATTTTTTGGTCTTTTCTTACCTATAATATCAACACATTTTGTACCTGGAAAAGTTTGGCAACCTTGTGTATTTTTGGAGTATCTTTTCCTGAAACTGTAGCTTTCGTCTTTGTTTTTTCAGATGAGCATGTAAGAGACACCATGCCTACAAGACCTGTTCCTACTTAATTTACCGTGTAGTAATGTTTACATCGAAAGGAAAAGTGCACTAATGTATTTTGACATGCATTTTGTCAGAGAATGTTGAAGGTAAATTGAAAATGGCAGAGGGACACATCCTTACATTGAATCCAAATCCAGGGCTTCTTTGAACAAATATTTGTATTTGTATTGTACAAAAATTGATGTATATTTTGATAACGAGGGTGTATATAATTCCAGACGTGTTAAAGGATGTGAAATGCACAATGACTAGTCGAGGCACCAGGATTTTTGGGAAGTCTGACTTGAGGGAATGGGCTGTTAGTGTTTTGGTTGTACTTCCTGAGTTTTGAGGTTTATTGTCTTATTTGTCAGTGGCTGTTGCTGAATTTTGTACCAACTTTCTCCTGAGTCTTCTGTTTCTAAAGCTTCAGAGGTATTGATATGTAACCTAAGTTTCTCTTCCTCCTGAAATCTCAAGATGACCACCTTTTAGAGTGTTGCCGTGTCAGCGAGCAGCACAGAGATTTTGTCGCTGAATGGCTCAGTTATTTTCGCAGTCTGACAGAATTGTTTACAACGAACAAACATGCTATGTACTGTACAAACATTTTCTATCCTGTGGCTGTATGATGAAACTACCCTCTTTGATACCTCGAAAGAAACAACACTCATCAGAGTAACATATCCGTTTCTGTTTTGTTTTTTACAAAATGTTCATAAAGAGTCATTTAGCACCGAGCTGAGAAGCATTGAGTGTGTTTACATCCACTTAATTCATGGGTTGAGCCTTTTGAAAATATATTTGTTTGTAGATAACAATACTATCCAGGCAAAGGGATGATGATGGCCATGTGTACATCTAATATATGTATACATCTATTTTGTGCAAATTAGGGCAGGTAATGCTCCGGAGGGATGAATAGAAAATACACGTCATTGTTCTAGAAGTACGTTTATTAAAATTAAATGGAAAAGTTAAATCCAACAATCGTCAAATATGCAAGTATTATTTCCAATATCATATGGCTAAAAGTTTTGGGGAACCCTTTTTGCAGTGCATGTAACCTTAATTGATCTGAATACCATTGTATCGACGTGAATGTAAATATATTCAATGCTTGAAAAAAACGTCATTCACTGGAGGTCCTCAAAGACACGACTCTCAGCTGGTGTTAAACTTGCTCTTAAGGAATAAACTGGCAGGTCAAATCGTTGTACATGTGCATGTTTTCTCCTGTGCACTCTTCTGTTCAGTGCATGCTGCATGGGACAAGCACACACCTGTGTTACTTGATTGCATGGTATACCGGCCCTGTCGCCCTGTACTGTGTTTTCTTGTGCAACAAATAAAATGTGTTTTTCTCTCTGACTCATCCTTAGAATGACTCCGCTGGTGTTTTGTGTTCTCCATCATTGTTTACCACACAGAAAGGGAAAGAACAGACACACAAAATAAAAAAATAGGACAATAATGTCCACCCACGATGACAGATTAATTAACGATAAAAGAGATAATGACAAGACAATCAGACCGTAGAAAGATAACTAGAGCCATGATCTCAAATAATTTGAGTTACGCTACTGTAATATAAAAAGTAAAGCATTATACAAAAATAAATCTGTCTTGGGTGTGTTGTAACATTATCATGTTGTCAAAACTTTTTGGAGGATTGCCAGTTCTCATAACCTGGTCTGAAACTAGGGGAAAGAGTCCGATTTCCGCAGTTTCAGAATCTATTTCTTAATGTTAACAGAATAATATATTGCATTATTTGGACTAATGTATCAGTCAATATTGAAATGCGGAACTGTGGTCTATATTTCTGTACAACAGTGAAATTCCCAAGTGAAGCAGTTTCTGGATCGGGGATTAAAGTTACTTTAAAAACAGAGCAAGAATGCTTTCAGCACGCTTGGGCGTATTACATAAAGGTTTAGAGGTGAGAAATAAGGAAACACTACGTCGGTGTAGTCCATGTTCTGCAACAGAGAGATATTTTTCTCGCATACAATGTGCTGAAACAGTTCTGTTGCTGCAAAAAAAACATAGTAGGCTGTAAACATATTATGTAAGATGATGGTATTAATACATTCTAAGAAATGAGGCAAACTTGGCCATAGCAACATGCTACAGTAATACATTGCATATCATTTATTAGGGACAGTGCACATTAATGAACATTTCTGTAAATGTGCCAGAGTTAGCCAAGAGGCTATTTTTCATCTGTAGTCCCTGGACAGATTTTAAAAGTCAACCTAAAACACATTTCATTTTAAACAAGTAAATACAATACATTTAAAACATGCAACAGACATTACTGGGATACTTAAATAAAACAATTTAAAATACAGAACATTAAAACAAAACAAATAAAACAAAGCAAAATAACATGTTAAAATACAGGCAGTGGGTTGTAATGAGCAGAAGATTGGGTCAGTGCCGACAGAGCTGATTCCCCACTAACCATATTTTGAGCTTTGATTTAAATAAAGTGAATGTGGTCTGGTCTCTGATTGGAGGTGGGATTGAGTTCCATTGCTGAGCAGATTTAACAGAAAATGAAGACTGACTGAAAGAACTTTTATATATAATGCAAAATCATTTAAATACATATTTACATCGATAACTAATGGTGAAAGCAACTATTATTTTCAAAACTTCAGTGCTTTATGTGTGTCGGTAGTTTTCCTTTCGGACCGACAGGTGTCACTAACGCGATGAGAAACTTTAGTCTGACAGAAGAAGAAGTCCTGTGTCCTTCACAACAGCAAACATGGCGACTGCTACCAAAATCATCCAGAGGCTCCGAAATCTTCTGTCGGGGGTAAGAATCACATCCAAACGTTTTATCTGAACTGCGATTTACTGTAACATGAATATTGATTTATTACCTGGATATGTATTGCTTTAAATGGGCGAACAATACTAATTTAAGAGCGCGAGGGTGCTAATGCTAGGTAGCTTTAAGAGCAAACCGGTCGAGCTGAGTTGGATGATATATGTCTTATATCATGCGTATTTAACATGGGTTTTTAAGCATAAATCAGTAATGATGTTTCTTTTCTAGCATGACCTGCAAGGCAAGCTCCAGCTACGATATGGGGAGATTGGAAAGAGGTAAGACTTTGTACACTTGTGTTTAATGTAAACACCGATGGAGCCATTACACCCTGCAATCAACTTCAGAATGATACAATAAAGCAATTATGTTGTCAATTGCCAATTTAACTTAGCTTCCCAAAAGTGCTTACATACTCACCTAACGCTAAACACTGACTTATTATCTCTGTAAACAAATACAACCCAAATAGTGATGTGTAAATGACGCGTTGATATATATATATATATACAGTCTATGGTTGACACAGGCAGTAAAAACAAGGAGGACAGCACCTGCAAACGCGTCCTGGATCAGACTGATTTAATGTATTCATTTCCTTGAGTCTTGTAGGCCTCTGAAACCGATTTGAATAAATTGTCTTGCTATCTATAAGTAGATTAGTTATTTCATGCATGTGGCTCTCGGGCAGCACTGCCACACTTACTACCAGACCATTTTCTTTCCTAGTCAATGTAGTTACATGCTTTAACCCAGGGGTGGGGAACCTTTTTCCTCACAAGGGCCATTTCAATTTTTTCAACATCCTCCGAGGGCCGTACAAATGATTGACCTCTGCTTAAAAATACTAAAATCACAGCCCATTCATTTGGCCTTTCTTTCATGCTGTGCAAAGAAAAAGCAACCTCTTAATCCAGATACTCGCATATGCATACACGTGCACGGTTGTGGAATGACCACCAAAACAGAAAGATATGGACACAAGATGTGTGCAAATTAATTTAGTTTCCTATCCATGTGATATAGGAAACTAAATTTAAGTGGGGGGGGGGGCTAACCTCCTCTAGGGGGTTAAAAGCATCAAGTTAAAAGCATCAATCTGGTGCAATTAAAGAGCAACATTAGGAGCTCTTTGGATACATCTCTCAACATCCAGATGAAACAGAACTGTAAGCAGATTTACATTTTCTTTATGGATATTTTACAAATCACTCCCCTTTTAAACTGTATTCTTGTTTATTAATAACAACTTTTTTTTACTGTCATATAGTATTTTACGCCTGTTTACTTTATTCTCATATATACATTTTTTCTCCCTTTTTGTATATGTACAGCTCTCAACATGCCCAGACTTGTAGTGATTTTCACCTCTTTTAATACTTTTCGCCTCATTCTGAAAGACGGAAGCAAATGTGCTAACGTCGTGACGGCCTCCTTGGTGTGTGGTGCGAGACGGGAGGAAAAAAAAGTGTTACTTCACAGTTTTACGACACATTTTTTTTTTTTGGACTTACAAAATTATCTTTTAAATTGACAAACATCATATGTGTAATTCGTGGCACAATTCAAACGGAATCAAAAGATAATCTTTCTCTCCCCATTGACTTCAATACATAATTTTTCCGAAATAAGGTCCCATGGAGCTCCTCCTGGAAAGGGAGGGACTTCGCCTCTCTATGGGTACTACAATTTTTGAAGTGGCGGAGCGGCGTTCTGGTGCTCTCTGTCAGCACTACACCCCTTTCAGATGAGACATATACCACGTATGACACGTTAGGCTTGTGTTGTGTTCAAGGACCCTGACCTTGGCCAGGAAAAACAGGCACTCGTTTGTTTAATTCTTTTGAGGTCTAGATTTCTTTTAATTTTTTTCTTTTTAGCGTGTGTTTATAAATTACCTCGAGGGCTGTACCAAATGGTCTCGCGGTCCGTATACGTCCTGGAGGCCGGAGGTTCCCCACCCCTGCTTTAACCATTGTTTTGTTTTTGAACCCAAGAAACTCTCAAAATCATGTTACTCAAACTGACAATGCAATATCCTTCCCCGTGCGCTGTACAATAGCTGCCCACTGCTCCTGGTACTAGGATGGGTTAAAAAGCAGAGAACATATTTTACTGTGTGTGCTGTGTGCTTTGCATGTGTGACCATTAAAGAGGGCTTCATCCCTCCAATTATATTCTATTCTTCATAATGACACCACTACCTACAATGACATTCCCCCACAAATAGACAGTCAGCGTTAAGTCGATATTTTTCACAGCAGAGACACGGCTTCATTCTGTGAACAATGCTTTCTCTATAGGACTCAGCCACCACCCAAACTGCCAGTGGGCCCGAGCCACAAGTTTGCCAGCAACTACTACTGCAATAGAGATGGACGCAGAGAGTCGGTTCCCGCCACTGTCATCATGTCTTCTCAGATGGCTCTCACCGCCGGCAGGTAAATGACTCGGTCAATGCGCTGTCATGTGCGGTAATGTAGTTATTTTCATAGTTGCAGATGGCATAACTGCAACTGCCAAAGATGCCCCGATGCTTAGATGAACTGATCTGACGTGAAGTAATGTGAGCAGCAAGCTTTTACTGAAAAAAGTTTGTGAAAGACTATTTTTGTCTAAATCATGTCATATTTGTTTTTCTCTTCTCATCTCTTTGTAGTCAAGTTGCTGAGGTCTCAAAGCCTTGTGTGACCCCGGGGGCTGTCTACAGGGAGCCAACGCTCTCCACAGACGAGCCGTACCTCTGAGCAGCAGGATTACCTCCCTCAACACCAATGACCTAAATCCTCCCTCCACATCTGCTTTATTGGCCTGCCTACTGCCTGTGCCCTGTACAATAAGAAATGTGAATAAAATGTCTTCTATTTATGTTTTTTGTAGTTATTGTGGTCATATCTTAACTGAATTAATTGAAACTGAGTTTAAATCATCATTGAGTAAATAGACATTGCAGCACTTTTTGGAGATACTGGCTAAGCGGTATAGCAGGGGCGGGCTCAGTAGATGTGTGTTGATGCAGAAGCTGGAGGGGCTGAGGCACACAGAGAACCTCTCTCCAAACAGGACAGTGCAGCCTCATATAGTCCACAAAACAGTTATAATTTTGTTCACAATAAAATTGCCCTTAATTTGCTGACGTGAGTGTAGATACTTGAGTAGCTCCCAGTAGACTTTCACTCTGTCTCATACATCATTATTATCATGTTATTGTATTTGACATATTACGTATCTTTATAATTAAATTAGTTTTGAGAAAATAATTCCCTCAAAAAGATAAATTAAACATAAATGAGTATAAAGCTGCTTAAGTATCCATTAAAGGAAATACTTCATGTCATTACTATTGTCAGATGGACCATGGATTAGGTCATGAGATGAAGACTTGATATTATGAAAATATTTTTTGTGAGTCAGCACAATTTTGGATCACAGTCATACTTCAAGTTTTACCCCGCACTAATTTGGATGGATTGGAAATCGATTTGTTTTTAGAAGGGGAGTGGTAACTTTACCAAAATTCAGCTCGACCTATACTTGAGGGGGGTCTAATCAGCAACAAGCTGAATACAGACAATACTTAAAACTATTATCTGGAAAGGTGAGCAGTTTTAGTTCACACGATTTTAAATCTGAAGAGTTATGCAATATAATGTCTTATATGTAGGCCAGGCTATGACAAGAAAAGTCTAGTTTGAGGGGGACTCTTTAATGTTTTAATGTCAGGCTGACTTGTTGAGGGGCATGTTAGGGTTTTTCTGCATATTAAAACAAAAAAACTTTAGGGTTTTGTTTGAGTCAAACATTGATACAAAGATAATGTGATATCATATTAAACATACAATTAAACATTTGTTAAAATATATATAATAAAAATATAATTATAAAACAAAATTCAATTTGAATTATTAATTTATATTGATTACTGACAAGGATTCCGTGTTTTTTTTTACAAACTTCAAATTGCATTCATTTTCAATTAATAACAAAAACAAATATGTAGTTGATTTACGAGCACAATTAAAATAAGTGATAGCCTTTTACCTTTAACATGATTAAATATGTTTGTTTAGTATATTTATCAAAGTCTTTAAAAGAGCCACCATCAGCCTTTCAGAAGCACATCATGTAACTTTTTCATCACAAACCACTGAATCAACTATTGCGTCATAACTCCGCGCCGCGTGCGACGCAACTGTGGAGGACACCGAACATGAGACACCTTGGAGGCTTATTTCTTCTGCTAGCACCACTATCTTGGTGTTATATTTTGGGTAAGATGCAGATATTACTTTTGCATTATTGTGACATTAAAGAGCTGCTTACATTAAGCGCTTTTTAAATAAATGACGTGAAGTAGCGACGGTTTACAGTCGAGCAGACCTGTCAGTTTGAATGAAGTCTGCGAACTACAGTCCACTTTTTCTGATATATGTAAGGTTTTTCTAGTTTAAGTGTTACTATACAAACACATCATGTTATCCCAAGTTATATGTTTCAGAAAATGTCGTATTTGGACTAAAATATATGTGCAAAATGTATCAATAAAGCTAGAAACATATTTTAAAAACAATGCGGAACTCTATCTGACCCAGGCTTTGCAGTGCAAATTTAGGTTCAGATTTAAACACCTTTTTTAAAAGATTCTACAAAAAGTAATACTTTCATTATTTAATTTAAATATTAAATAAAAATTACAGCATTCATTTGAATTGACTGTGTAACAAGACTCTGTCACCTTAACTATTTCCTTATCTTCGTCAATTACATCAGTTTAAGTAGATTTTAGATGGAAACACTTTTATATTATAGGAATGCACTTTTTGTTTTAACGATTCAATCAAATAACTATTCATATCTTACACTCCACTGTAATTTGTATTCATTTATTTAATACCTGTTTTATTATATATGAAGTGTTTTATCTTTATTTTATTCTCTTTGCTTTTTAATGACTGTTTTTAAATATTGTAAGTATCATTTTATTATTTGTTTTCACTGCACCATATCTTAATGCTGTACTCAAAGTACTTTGAATTGCCTTGTGTTAAAAGGTGCTAATAAACCTTGCCTTTTTATGAAAGAAAATGTATATTATGAAACAGTAAGACTAAAACATTGTGTTTTGAATGTATCTCAGGTGCTGAGGCTCAGTCTCTGCACGCCTGCCACCAGCAGCGTGGGTTCAGGTGCAGTGATGGCTTGTGCATCCAGAGACTGAGAGTGTGTGACGGGCACAAAGACTGTGAGGACGGATCTGATGAACAACGCTGTGGTGAATATACAACATGATACCATTTTAACACACACAAATACCGGTACACACAACACTGTCAAACAAAAATGAGTGAGAAGAAACCAGAGTTGGTGCTAGCCTGAAGTTTATTCAAATGTTGTCACAGCTTTGTGTTGCATAGAAACTGAATGCTGCAAACATCTCAATATCTAAGTGACTCATTAACAAAAGGGATTTTTCTAAGTAGCTCCCCTTTCTAGCCAAGAGAGTCTCTGATTGAGAGATGGATGCTTGTTTTGACAATGATGCAGTCTGACAGCCTGGTTGGAAGTTGTGTAAAAACAGAAATACTACATGAACACTGCACCATCACAATAATTGCACATTACTGAGAATGTATACACTAAACTAAAGCACACATAATGTTGGGGCCACATGAGGTATCACCAGCACCCATGGTGTCAAAGTCTACAGTTTCAGACAAATGGCATGTCTAATGATTGTGTTGGCAGGCAAAGCATGCACCCTTTTACCTACACTTGTTGTTTTTTACAGTGTAATGCAGTTCAAGTTGATTAAACGACATCAGCTCATTTTCTTGCATTGTGGGGAAAAAACCACTGCAGATTATTTTATGTAATCCTGTTAAAGTAATTTGCAAGTAACTTGGAATTGAATGTATTGAATTCCGGAGGGATCTGGTGTTCAGCCTGAACCACAAGCTGCGCAACGTTTGCAAAGAAAAACCCTGCTGGAGAAAATGTTCTGAAAGGATTAAAGGTGAAGGTAGCCAATAATCACAAACATTGTTGATGTTAGGAATTCCCAGCAGGTATGAATATGGGTAGTGTTGCAGTTAGGGTCGTGAGACCTAGAGTTGAAAGAAGCTGGTTTGAAAACCAGCCAGGAAAATGTAGGAGTTGCAAATTACTGTGGATTTATTATGAGATAGTAGAGAGTAAAACATATCAAGAGGAAATTATCTGTTGTCAGGCTAGGCAACACATTACATTTCAGTCAGGTAAGGTAGTTTTGACAATGTTGCAGAACAGTTAGCTGTTTAATGACAATATTGGATTTTCCCCATTTATTTATTTTTGCTCCAGTCTGGTTTATTTCACCAGGTGTTGATTTTCTGGATTAGTCATACATTTGTGTTTTGTGGTTTTAACACTTTTCAAGTAGATTTTCTTGAATCTTTCCTTTAAGTTGCCTTAATTGAGGATCTGGGTAGATGTAATCTAAAACAGCATTTCTTATAAACTTAATGACCCATGAGGCAGCTGGTTCTGATGAAAACTTGTATTGTGTTCACAAATATATAAATCATTAGCCTGTCCACATATGTACTCCCCCACCAAACAATTTCCCACTTATTTTTGTTGGTCTATTGAGTTGCTCTGAAACGGCATTCAGAGATTTCTTACAAACTGAAACACAAAATAAAATGCTCAGAAGTCAATAATGTTTTTCCTATAAATGTTAGTGGCGTACCAAAAGCAGATAATGCTCAGATTACATTTGAACAGAAGCCTTTTCATCTTTCCATTACTGTACAAAAGTATTTATTGATGTAACTTGTCTCACTTTTCACAGATTTCATGTCCTGTAAGAAGGATGAGTTTGCCTGCCGCAGCAGGCTTTGTATATCTTCTCATTTACGCTGCAATGGCGTAGAGGACTGTGGCGACGGCAGTGATGAGGCGTCCTGCTTGAACTGCAGCATCCCTGGGACTTTCTCCTGCGGACCGTCTGACACCTGCCTGCCCAGAAACAAGCTGTGTGACGGGAGAACTGACTGCAAAGACGGGCGGGACGAGTCTCCACACATGTGTGTTTTGCCTCGGCCACGCCCGCAGACTTCTCCCGTGTGTGCGCCGTTTGAGTTTCAGTGTGGGGACGGGCACTGCATCCGTCAGACTTGGAGGTGTGACCACTCCCCAGACTGCTCTGATAGCAGCGATGAGGACAACTGTGGTGAGTGATACGTTTACAGCTCACTTAAAAACATGGTTCACTGAGAACTACACCTGCCCACACTAGTCTCTGTTGGATATGGCACGTGTGTTATATGTTGTGATCATGGATGTTGCCCCTCGTCTCTGTTATGTGATTGTCATGTGCTATATGTGACATGTATGTAGTAACATGTGTTTCACCAACACATTCTCACTCCCAACTCGTACTATAGTGACGTTATGTCAGGATCCCTTGGCGTCACTATCAAACGCAGTGGTGGGCCCTTTAGCGTCGATTTTCAACTATCAGGGAGTCCCAATGACTTGCATAGAGCTCCCTGAACGTTGGTAATAGACGAGTTGGGATCGCGGAGAAATGCTCTCTGCAGACCCATTCTCACAGCGTTTATCAACCTTTTTCTTACTCAATATCAAGCCACACTTATTGTTTTTACTTCTTTATTATAATTGTATAATGTCTGACTTTTGTTGCCGTCAGTTAGGGTGAGAGTAGGCGGTCAGAATACTGAAATCTGTATTGTTTCATAGTTTTTTCCTTCTAATTTTGTGTTCTTTTCTAAACCACACACTGTTATGTACTCAACAAGACAATTATCCTTGTGTTTATTTATTTGTTTGATTGTATAATGTCAGACTTTTGGAGTCCATCATGACCGAGGGTCGGAGCAGCTCATTCGAACACAGGAAGCTGTATTTTCAAAATAAGAGTTCATTTTAATATTATGTCTGATAATATATGTTGCATTAACTAGAACACTGACCACTGTTGGTTTGGTGTTACAAATATCAAAACAATATATGAGTGGATAAGAAAATACATCCATCATAAACTAAATTGGAAACAGCAGTATATTTTATGGTGTTAACACTGTAAACTTGACAGGTTTTTAACCCACTGGTTAAAGCACGTTATTGAATTTTTTTGTTGAATTTGATGAAAACATAAAAAATATTAAGAGTACATACAAAATAGGGGGAAAGTAGAAGGTCAATAATAGAAATATAGAATAGAAAATGTCAAGAAGATACTGTAAATGATATCTAGAATAAAACAGTTTAGTGCAGGATGTCCAAAGATATTAATAGGAGGATGTGCAAAACAGACCAACTAATAAGGCTTTATTTAAACGTTAAAGAATACTTTAGGTTAAGGTCTTCTTTTGAATAAGAAAAAAGCATTGGGGGTATCAACAGATAAAAATTAAGCCTGATAAAGTACTCAAAGTTTAATATATTGCATGGTTTGTTTTGGGACTTGACAATCAACTTTCCTGCAATGTTAACTATGTTGAAGCACTTATGTTAACCAACATTATACATATTTATTATACTCTTATAAGATGTATGTAGATAGAATAAGAAATGTGCAGAATATGACAGTTTAATGCTGGAGGTATACACACATATTGATAGATGTCTTGTACTGCACTGTTGAGGAACCTGCGACCCAAGTTTTTCATCTCCGGCCTTGTCAGGTATTGAACATTCAATATAATTATTAAATATAAAACACAGAATTTGTGTGATTATACTAAATTATTTACAAATAAACACCACTGCATATTTACAACTGTTACACATGCTGCCGTAAAGAAAAGATGTCCAACTTGGGATCAATAAAGTATATCTTATCTTAAGATGATCGATGGCTACTGCCATATTTGCAAAATGTGCCTCTGAACCTTGACAAGTGCATGTTTCAGGCTTAGCAATGAACAACAGGAGGGTTCACAGACATAAGACCAGCTGTTAAATAAAGCTCTCCTACCTTAGCTGTCATGTGGGTATATATTAATGCTGCCCATTATGGACACAGCAATTTTCACCCATTTATTAATTATTATGTTTTAAATTTAAATGTTTGATAGTGACGCCAAGGGATCATGACATAATGTCACTACGAGTTGGGAGTGAGAATGTGTTGGTTTCACTCTATCTACTTGTCTTTCATCCTTTCTTTATAACTAATGCTGTTGATGTATTGGGATTTGAAGGGTGTCTATTATCATCTGGCCAGGGACAACAAATGGAAATTAGCAATGTTGGCTAAAGCTGCCCCATTCACAGTTTTTTGTGACAGTTAATGAATGGGGACTGTCCACAACACTATAAACAAATAAACTAAACTAAATACTCCTGTAAAATACACTGTGGTTTCACGTAGGCTATATATAGGCCATACATTAATGGATTCCAATGGCAGGCTTATGCCAGCAAAATAATGGCTAACGATTTGGGAAAGAAATGTTAAACAAACACAATCTGTATTTGATGGCTCGCTTGTGATGCCTTGCTGTCCAGCCAGCAGAGGGCAGTGTTGCGCTGCTCCATACTGCCCAGTGGCTTCCAGCATTTTGGTCATATAAAAATGTTTTGGGGGGAGACTAAGGTTGTTCCAAAAGAAAGGTTGAACTGAAAGAAGGGACAGTTTTTCTAATGTTATAGTATGAAATAACTAAGTCAAAGATGTGATGAGTGTAATTCTAAAATAATTATTTCACTCATTATTCAACCAAATCAATAGGAAAAAAAGCTGAATATTCTCCATTTGCAGCTTTTCCAAGGTGTTGATTTGCTGATGATTTGTACATGGTTTGAAATTAAATTAATTATTGTTAGCATGTGGAACGTTGGTCAGGAAAAAGATTAAACTTGAAGAAGGCACCATGGTCTTTTAAGAAAAAATATTTTTGGATATTTAATATTCTTTTCAATGAATTCATGAATCAAAATGTCAGTGGGTTACCTCATAATCAAAACCATCATTAGCCTTTAAGTGTATGAATCCATCTCTGGTTTTCTCTGTTGTTAGCAATTGTAAAACATATTTGAACAATCCTTACTCTTGTGCTTATCCTAATTTATTTCTCCTCCCTGACCACAAATCAAACGGCGTTAAAAAGTAAACCACGCTCATTGTCAACTGTTAATGTTTTTAATTTGTTTGTTTGGAAGCTGTGTTTTGTATCTGAAAGATTTTTCTCCATTTCATAAATAAGAGTACGGTCTGTTTTTAGGATTCTTCTATTTCATAAGAATTATTTTTCATCTGAACTCCGCTGTACTGTATATTATGTCTTTGATTGCTTTCAGATTTTTTCCCCAAACAAATCGGTTCTAAATAAGTGCAATGTCTCAAAACCTCGATGCATTGGCTCCAAATTGGATAACACAGATTCATGTCCCCTTCCGCAGTAATTGTATTCACTGATCCCCTGGCTTTTCCTCTATAGTAGCATCTTGTCAATTTTGTATTAGCTACAATAGTTTGTTGAAGACCCAAATTGTAAGATGCTTCTTTGTTTTTTTTTGTCTGGCAGACTTACAAATGCCTTATTGCATTATAATGGGCCACATATTTGACAAAGACAAACGCACTATGTCAATCTTTTTTCATGGTTTTCTACTCATGAATACAATACAGGAACAATTTTGGTTTCTGGTTTAGTATTTTATAATAATAATAATACATGGGACTTTTATAGCGCTTTTCATGAAACTCAAAGACGCTTTGACAGAGAATTAAGAAAAGACAACAAAAAAAAGACTAAGAAATACAAAAAGAGATAAACAAAACAGAAAATAGGGGGGGAGGGGGGTGGTCAGTGGTTGAATGCAGTGTTGAACAGGTGGGTTTTGAGTGATGTTTTGAATGCTGTGAGGGAGGAAGAATCTCTGATGGATTGGGGTAGTGAGTTCCAGAGGATGGGTGCAGCAACGGAGAAGGCTCTGTCGCCCCAAGACTTGAGGTTGGTCCGGGTGGGGAGGGACAGGAGGTTGGCAGTGGCAGAGCGGAGGGAGCGAGTAGGAGTGTGTCTGTGGAGGAGGTCAGTCAGGTAGGATGGGGCCAGGTTATGGAGGGCTTTGTACGTCATCAGGAGGATCTTGTACTGAATTCTCTGGGGGATGGGGAGCCAGTGGAGCTTGATGAGGACGGGTGTAATGTGTTCACGGATTCGGGTGTGGGTGAGTAGACGGGCGGCGGAGTTCTGGATATATTGAAGTTTGTTGAGGATTTTTGCAGGTGAACCATAGAGGAGGCTGTTGCAATAGTCCAGACGGGAGGTGATGAAGGCGTGGATGAGGGTTTCGGCAGCAGTGGGAGAGAGGGATGGACGTAGACGGACAATGTTTTTGAGGTGGAAGAAGGCTGTCTTTGTGATCTGTTTGATGTATCTGTTGTAGGAGAGGGTTTGGTCAAATATGATGCCTAGGTTCCGGATGTGAGGGGAGGTTTGAACTGGGAAGCCGTCTATGTTGAGGGTGAAGTTATGGATAGGTGTGGTGAGCTTTTTTTGTCCAATGACTATTATTTCAGATTTATCGCAGTTGAGTTTCAGGAAGTTAAGTTGGAGCCAGGATTTTATTTCAGTGATGCAGTTTGTCAGGATGGAGTGGGTAGCAGTGGAGATGGACTTGGTGGAGATGAGAAGCTGGATGTCGTCGGCAAAGCAGTGGAATTGAAGTCCATGACGGCGGATTATGTGACCAAGGGGAAGCAGGTAGAGGATGAAGAGGAGGGGGCCGAGAACTGAGCCTTGAGGGACACCTTGGGGGAGAGGAGCGATGGGGGATTTGCAGTTATTGATGTAGATGAACTGGTTTCTGTCAGAGAGGTATGAAGTGAACCAAGAGAGGGCAGTGCCGGTGATCTTGAAGGTGGTTTCAAGACGGGTGAGGAGGATGGAGTTATTGATGGTGTCGAAGGCAGCGCTGAGGTCAAGGAGGATGAGGATGTTGAGGTTACCAGCATCGGAGGAGAGGAGAAGGTCATTTGTAATTTTGAGGTGTGCGGTTTCGGTACTGTATTTTGGACGGTTGCTTTTGTCTCTGATCTTATGACCGTTTCTTATCACATTAAGATATATTCTTTAGTACCATTTTTCCTTCTTTCTGGTATGAAACCACTAATGATGATGTAATGTGTGTTTCTGCAGACCAGAATGAATGTCTGGTCGATAATGGAGGTTGCTCTCACCGGTGTGTGGACCAGCTGATGGGTTTCCTCTGCGACTGTCCCAGCAACATGAAGCTGGTCGGGAACAGCCAGTGTGAGGGTGAGTGGCAGCCCTAAAACCGCCTGCTAGATTTAGATTTTAAAACCTGTTATGAAGATGTGTCCTGAAAAATGAGTAATGGGCACTTGGAACTGGCTCCATTTACATAATTAATAACACATTTCTTTAATGCGTACTCCTTCCAAAGTGTCCGTTGTTTTATCTAGAGGTTGACCCGTGTCTGGAGAGCGATGTGTGTGATCAGCTGTGTGTTCACATGAACGGCAGCCTCACATGTGACTGTCAGGATGGTTACCAGAGGATTCAAACAACGAGCGAGTGCAAAGCCAAAGGTGAGAAACAAACTCTTAATGCACCTGGTTACCAGCCTCCAAAATATCAAGGTTATTACTTCTGCAACTGAGAACTTGGGAGGATAAGAGGAGGCCCGTATAATTATTTATTAGGTCTTACTTGGCTTTCTATGATGACAAATAAGATAACATGCTATGATAAATCCCATCAACATTGAGGCAGCATTTTATTTCATAACTCTGTCGTTAGAGCTACTTTAATGTACAAGGGGTCCAGAGGTCGCCTTAACCGAATATTTTCTGTCTATGACGGATTTTTTTTAACAATGACGGAAACATCAGAACAGCGCCAAAGCTTCGAGGTGCAGTGGGCATGCATAACACCGGTGCTAACAGTTCACGAGCATTCTGTTTTCCTTCCAGGAGAAGAGGCTCAGCTGGTTTTCCCATCTTCTCAAGGAATACGAACGATCAGCGTCACTGGCACGGAGCACAGGAGGCCAGCTCTATATTTACCAGGATCGGGGCCGGTGGCGACTCTGGTCTCTAACCGAACTCTGTACTGGGCCCGGCCAGGACGAGGCTCTGTGTACAGGTAGCAAAGTGCTGCTGGAGCCACCACTCAAACACACCATCCTAATAGATAATATCAAGCATGTACTTACTAACATTTAATTCACACTGGATTATACAAAAATAGTACATGAAAATGGTTATTTCATATTGGTTTATTCAACAAACAACCAGAAAATATGCCATATAGGCTATACTTTTCTAATGTATTTATTTATATACAGAAAAAATATAAAAAGTGCCATTTCAATATTTGACAGTTATCATGATATATATCGTTATCATGATATAAAATGTCCTTAATCAGGATAGTTGATTTTTGCCAAGCCCTTCGTTGAAGCCTGCAGCCACCTTCGTCATATTCAGATTTTGAATTTGATATATCAGAACGTGGAATAAACACCCTGATTATTGCATTTATTTATATGTTTCCTTCCCCCTTTGATGTTTGTCAGGGTCTCTTTGGATGGAAATAAAAAGGATTCGGCGTTGGTGTTGAAAGTTGAAGGATCGGTGTCAGGCCTGGCTGTGGACTGGATCCATCAGCTCCTCTACTGGACCAGTATGGAGAGCGGTTCTGTGAACGTTGGTCTGCTGGACGGTTCGGCTCAGCGTCCGCTCATCACCGGACTGGACAGACCTTCAGCAGTGGCTGTGGATCCTCTCCAAGGGTAGGAGGCGGTTACTTTTCATTAGCATCGTCCAGAAGGTTCCCCGGACTCACGTCAGAAGGACCAATACAATTGTTATCTTGCATTGCATTGTTATTTATAAAGACAGCTAACACAGCACCACTTACAGCAAGAGCATCTATTTTGACTGTACCTTGGCAATTAAGTTATCGCTTAAGCACTTGTTGATTTAATGTTGGCCTTGTATCTGGTTCACCAGCACTTACTATCTAAAACAGGATGAAGTAAGAATCTTGTATTATTTTATCACTGCTTCTGTTTTCTCAGGCTGCTCTTGTGGGCTCAGTGTGGTAACTCCCCACAAATTGAGAGATCGAGCTTGCAGGGTCGAGACAGGAAGCCTCTGGTCACTTCCTCAATACGCTTCCCTGTCGCTCTCTCTCTGGGTATGTTCTGACATTTCACGGAAGTAATGGTTGAGTAAGAGTTGCATCTTTGGTGAGCTTTCAGAAGGTACGGAGCCCTGGAGGGTTCATAGAGAGAACAATTTATAAAACGTGGCCACGCTTTATTAATTTGTGTGCACGAGATACTTTCTCGTGCACAAACATTACTTTTTCGTTCGCACGAGATACTTTCTTATGGTAAAACACAACGAACTGCCCGATTATTACGCCATATTATTAGTTTTATGAAGTGTGTGTGTGTGTGTGTATTTGTTTGTTTATTTATTATTTGTTTGATAGTGTCGTTCATTCCGGTGCACTCCGGCAGGACTATAGCACTACATCGAGATTAAGATTAAACGAATGTCTTTCATTGGGAATACACATATAACTATGGAGAACCAGATGTGTGTAAATTACTGTTCGTGGTAATTTGAAAACAAATGCCGGTGGTGTCGGACACACACAAACACACCGAACACACACACACACACACAGCGGAGCTGAGCGCACACACACACACGCACGCACGCACGCGCGCGCGCCCCGGTGACCGGACATCTCCTTCATAAAACGAGGGGGAATACTCTGGTAGTTCGATGTGTGTATAGGTGTGTGTGGTTAAACGTAGCAGCCTCGATCTCTATTCAGTGGTTCTAATGAAGGGAAACGCAGTGAAGTAAACAGTAAAAGGCACAGCTCTTTGCAGCTGGTGCTGCTCTTCTCAGATTCTGCTGAGTTACACGTTACTGCCTCCAGTGCCCTGTACGACGAAGCCACTTCAACAGACCCTGGATATGTTCGATTTAGCCGGCTTAATAACACTAACAAACGCGATGTCGATAAGCGGTCCTACGAAGCTAGTGGTTATCAACTCAGTAAATCAACCAGGGTTTCTCTGTCCGGCTGAGAGCGCGTTCACGTGAAAGGGACGGGGTTAGCAACATTTGACCAATCACAAACATGGAGACGCGTGCTGACAGCGGAGCGTCATACTTCATGAATGAATAGTGTAAATAGCAAATCCTGCTTCGTAGTACAGGCCACTGGTGCCGCAGAGATTTCATAAAGTGAAGGAGGTTTTCCTTCTATAAAACAGCTGTGGGCAGCAGATACTGTGAGTCACTGAAAGGAATTCATGGATCAAAGCAGACTGGTTTACAGACTCTTCTGTTTTGCGAATCCGGTGCTTAAACAAATAGCTCTAAACCCCTGGCCAAAATGTCCCTAAATGTATGCACTGCCATTTCTCCACGTAAACATAAAAGTCTGCAAAGAAACGGTTTGTCTCCTCTGTGCTCCACTTCCTACTTGGCGCACCGCTAACTTACAAAATACTTTCTCGTTCGCACGAAATAGTATTTTGTGCAAACGAGAAAGTATATCGTGCACACCAGATACTTTTTTTTCTCTCTCCATGAACCTTTAGGGGCTCCCTAAGAAGGTGTTGAAATCTGATATTTATAGTAATGTTGAGAAATACAAAAAAAAGGGGGAAGAGCCTCAGTCTTCCCTTTTTTGAAACAGGAACAGTATTTATAAGCAAAAGCCAGAGGTTCAAGGTTCTTTATTGTCAAACTAACATAGCTACAGAGTAATTATGTCGTTGAAAATCTTAGGTCACAGGCTTCTCCAACAATGCAACACAATAATACAGATAAGCAGACAATATTAAAAGTGATACAAAAGAAAAATAGTTCTGAAAAAAAGTGGAATAGTGCAATACGAGTCTATATACAAGTTATTGGAATGATATAATAGATAAATAATTACTAAGTAATAGCAGATGAATGTTGTGAAATTGTTTCAGTTGTTCAGAGGGCTGATGTTCCTCACAGTTCATTGTGGTTCGTGATGCTGCTCATAATGCAGGTTGTGGTTTAATTTGATCACTTTTCCCTCCTAGATATGCCTCGTCAGCTGCTGTACTGGGTGGACCAGGGGATGAGAAGCATCTCCAGGGTAAATCTAGAGGGCCGCCACCGAAAAACAGTGGTAGAGTCTAACGGTTATCTGGACCGGCCCTTTGGACTTGCTGTGTTTGAGGTAAAAAGCCTTATGATGGTATGGATGGGCCACACAAAGAAAATATTTAAAGATATCTGTGAGAGTTCCTGCTCTCACTGCATTTACTCTAAACTCCAGTGTATAAATCCAGTCTGCTGGGCATCCCATCATCCTGACGATGAACTAAGAGGCTTTTCTCTTTTCCTTTATATCCAACATCTAGAAATTCTCGAAGGTGTGATAACAGTTCTGCTAACTCTGTCAATTCTGCTTCAGGGTTTTTTATATTGGAGTGAAGAAGTTACGCACTCCATCTGCCGAGCCAACAAACACAACGGCGGAAACCTCCAAGTTCTGCTGTCAAACGTCACCTCACCTGGGGGCGTGGTCATCGTTCAGCCGGCCCTCCAACCAAACGGTATGGCGGGTCCAATAATCAGACATTTACTGTATGATTCGGACATTAAAGTCATTTTGCTTTAAGTATTGTTTCTGTTGATGGTTCAGGGGTTCACTCAAGTATTGATTGACACTGTAGATTGTTGCTGCTGGAGTCACATTAATGCCGCCTTACATACTCTGTGTACTTTCTCCTGGTTCTTAGGGCCGTCTGTATGCAGGCATGCTGGGACGGTGTGCCAACAGGAGTATGTTGTCGACCTGATGTCTCAGAGTCCACAGTTCAACTGCACTTGTTCGGAAAAAAAACAAAACACGTCTCAAGAAATTCCCGTCAATTCGCGGACAGTCCCTGCAACATCCGTATCTGACCCTGCCTTTGCTGGGATCCTCTCTCTTATAAGTAAGACCCTTTTCTATCCCTCAAAATATTTTGTAAAAACAAAACCTCATCACATGTTTGGGAAACCTCCTGTTCTTTTCTTTTAGTATTTGCCCCGAAACACACTATTGTTCAAATAAGCCTTTTATCAAGTCAATGACTGCTTATAAAATGTGGAGGCAATTAAGATGTTGTTTGTTGTTGACACTTTTGGCTTTGCTGATGACTCGCACTAAAACATTGACTTTAAAAGTCAATCGATCAAATACAAATTTGACATCACTGTTTCCTATTGAGATGGTAACTCCCTGCTTGTTAACATGCACTGTTGTGGAGCAATTATAAAATAATAAATTCAGGCTTATGAGTTCCAAAAGTTGCAGCATTTAACAGAGTGCATTTTTTATTGGGAACAGTGTTAGTGTGCAGGCTTTTTAAGTCAATTATACATTTTTTGGTTCCAGTTATTTGGTTTTTGAGTAGTTTTTTTTTTATCGGGTTAATAATGTAAATAATCTTTGTCTGGAGAAGCACTCCAATATTACTACTATTCTAAATGTATGTGTATCTCTGAAGCCTTATATAGGCCTAACAGCCGTGTGTGTGTTGTGTGTGTCCCAGTGTTTCTCAGTGTGCTGCTGGGGGGAATGGCTCTGTGGTGGTGGAGAGAGGAGTTCAGGCCGTCCCGGTCCCTCATGGAGCAGAGCTTCTCCCTCAAAGAGTCCCAGGACCCCCTCATCATCCAGGGGCCACACATGGGTCCAAACACACGTCTAGTCAAGGCAAGACAAACACACACGTATATAAAAATAAAGCAGACACAGGCAACCTTCACTCACCTTCAGAGAGGAGGTAGAGATATATGCTGCACATTAACTGTTTTAAAGAGCTGACGATTGCTGTGTTTCTGGCAAATGTTTACACGTAAGGCACATGTAACGATGAGCGAAAACCTTGTAAGCAAATCATGTCTCTAGAAGGTCTTTGGCTGTGAAACCTTTGTATTTGTCAATTTGCTTCTTATCATGATTGTCAGCATTCTTCTTCAGCACAACATTTTCTGTCAAAGTTGAAACTGTTTTGGTTATAAGTTAACACATTAGAGATTTCCTTCATTTGTGTCTTTTACTGCGTACTATTTTTGGGATGTCTCATCTGTGCATCATCCAGGTTTTAGCAACATTGTATTCAAAATCTGAGAACAGAGGACTGTCCGTCTTCACATGTTACATTTGTCTGAATTTCCTTAACACAGAACTATACAAAATCCAGCAGGAGTTGGAATCCAGTGTTTATTAGCTGCTCGTTTTGAAATATAATGTTCTTCCTCTGGTAGCTTCCCTGATAAACACAAATTGACCTGCTTTTGTTAGGTTTAAGGTTTATCCTGGTAGCACTTTTTGACTAAACAACATGGTTTTCTGCCGCCAGGACACTCTGCTAAAGCGGGACGGAGATGCTGAATGAAGACGGTGCGGGACAGAAGGCCAGCTCCATGTGCTGCAGTGACCTCAGAGCTGACGGAGCAACAGGAACACAAACCAGTTCATCACCCCGTCCTGTTCCCGCCTCCGCAGGTTAAACTCTCATGAGAGAAATAACCCAGGGTTCATTTCAAAGTTCAGATGGGGACAGGCTTCATGCTGTGACTCCTGTTTTGAGGAATGTTACTTTCAGAAGTTGGCGTTGATAACGTTTGTCTATTTTCTATTTCTCTGCGCTTAAGAGAGTGGTGGAAATGTGAAGTCTTCAGATTAGACCTGAACATGAAATAATCAACTGTTTTGATTATTTAAGTCGTTGCTGGTTCCAGCTTCTGCGTTTCAATTTTTTTCAAAGACAGTGATCTAAATATATTCAGGATTTAGATTATTTGCTGATCGGTTAAAATAATAAAATAGCAGACTCTGCATTTTTCAGGATTTGCTCAGACAGTACAAACCATTTATTCACTGACTGTAATAATAATAATTGCAGTGCTACTGTAAATGCATATCTTTTGTTTAATTGCACTTTCTCTTTCATCGTTTATTTAATCTTATTTCAATAACAACTCTATTTTTATAACGTTAAGGACGGTTTGTACTCTCCAATATGAAACAGCTAACTGAAAAGTGTTCCACTGGTTTGTTCCTGGCCTTTAGGAGTTCACTCTCTTTCTTTGTAAGTCAGATAAAAGCATTATGGCATTTTGAATGTACGCTTTGTTCTGTGAACAGTCTAACTGGATAGTTAAATTGCTGTAGTACGCTTATCCACTTTCTTACCAAAAGTTGGATGAGAAGATAGGTACCACTCTCCTGAACGGTAGTGATCATCTCATATAACTCGATAAGAAAAGTGAATTTAACTATTCAGTTGAAGCTTGCAAAACTTTATTGGTTTGAGTAAGGGTAACATTTTGACCATAAAATCAAAGGATCAGCAAATTTAGACAAATCCATTATCTTGAGACCGTGAATATTTGAAATAAATATCATGGTGATCCAGCAAAGAGTTGTTGAGAAATCTTGATCCCGCCCATAAGGCTGGGTAAGAATGTTTCCCATTTTCCGAGCAGTAAAGTTTTGGAACATTTAATTTAGCCTTTGATTCTCTTTTGTCTTTCATCGAATCTGTTATCCTGTACCTTGCCTACAGTGACATTGGACCGGGTGTGCCCTGAGCTGCCTTTAACAAAAACAGTTCTAAATGTGGCCTTGATTTTCGATGCAGCGTTGACGCACCAATTATTGGTGTATTTTTTGGATTCTATAATTTAATTTGAAGATGCCTTTTCAATTTAAAAACAACAGGTCAGTGCAGTAGGTTTTGTTTCTCAAAGGGGACAATTGCAATAAACACATCTGGATTTGTGACTTTGTTAATATTTTGGATCAACTCATTATGAGGCAGAGATGTCCTCCTCACACTGTTTAATTGTTAATAAACTAATGTTTTTTTGGCTACGTCAACAAGAAATGCCAAAAAAATGTATATCTAATCTTTTTTTTGTCTTAGAATGTTGCACAAAATGATGTGCTGGTACAACGGGAACAAATATGTGTTGTTGCTTTGTTTGCTTTGTTTGGTTTGGTGTGATGTATCCTGGGTGTTGAGTACACAGAGCCTGGCACGAAGCTGTTGGAGTGAATGTTTGGTTTATCAACCTGCCTTGTTTGAATTCAGTCATTTTTCGTTGTTGTTTTAGTCTCAGAGAAACGCACAATTCTGTATGATCGATAATATTCATTCAGCATTGAATAAGAGAAAATTCTTTAACTGTGCTCAAACTGCTGAGATGTGTGGTTGATATTTATTTTTAAAGTTGGATTTTATTTATATTTTGGTAGCAGTAGTTAGTGTAGCACTGACTTTGCACTATAGAAAAACTGCTAGATGCTGTAAATGAATAAAATAAAGTATTTTATGTTTTCCCTACATTTTTGCCTACGATTTATTATTACACTTCAAGTCCTCTCTGCCAAACGATGCTATAGTAGTTTATAAATCACAGTTTAAACGTTTTTATCCGAGTACTTTCTGAATGACAATGCAAATTACGAGCCTGAGCTGATTATGTGGTCTCAAGCTCTTTCTAAAAATACTGTAAGTTAATTGTTCACTTACCATCTCTTGAATAATCAAAACAAACGGATGGCTAGCATTAAATCACTGGTGGGTATCGAACTGTAAATACAAATATCAGTGTCACTGAAGAATTTTCTTTACGCTGCAAAATATTCTCCATGTCAAACACTGGGAAGAAGGTGTTAGAAAATACCAAGCTCTCCATTTCCTTTATGGGCTTGTTGGGTGTGATTCTGCTCAAGTTATGATCAGCGATTAGGACATGGCGTTAAATTAAAATGCATATGTACATGTTTATTTTAAAAAGACATATGCAACATGACCACACTTTTTAAGATCAAAACACAAGAGCACTGAGAGTCTGTACTTTCATAAGTAGATTTACCTCGCTGTTCATCATATATCTAAAAAATGTAACCTTCTATCTATTTAAATAATCATTCAGAAGAAATTCACTAAATATTTGAGTCAAGAAATCAAGATGGACATACAGATGCAGAGGGGTCCATCAGCTGAAACAGGCACCGCCCAGAAGGCAAGAACACAAAGTCATGCTGCTCAGGACTAGCAATAATCTTTGGAGTTAGAGAGACACACAAGAGGCACTATAACTGTAAGTAGCCTACACTTAATTATTTATAAAAACCATATATACAGTAAATATCATATAGCCTAATGCTGTTTTGAAGTAGCTGAACACACTTCTAAAGGACTGCAGTGAGCTTCCCTTTTAAAGTATTGGGCAATATTTTAGATAAAATACAAATAAAAAGTTTTTGCTGATCAATAAACACGACTGTCAAATAAACCAATAAAAGAAATACAAACATAAGTTAATAAACTTCTATCGTGAAGGTACTTTTGCCTTGTGACTTTCGGGTCTGAAGAGTGAAGCCAATGTGGAAGTGCCTTAAACTTGCCTTTTTAAGAGTCACCTATTATGCATAAAGCACTTGATGTATTTTATACATAAATGTGTGTCTCTGGTGTGTAAGGAGACACTCTCTTTTTTTAAATGTAAGTATGTAGTGGCGTAGAACATGTGTTGGTAAATATGTTACTTTGTTGCATTTGTTATCACCAAAAATGTGTTCCGTGAAAGTAAAGCAAGTTCATAATTAGATAGACATCGTGAGGTATTTATTTTCGGTACAGTTTATGTTGAAACCGTTAGAGAGAGTGGCACACTTGTTAGCCTGTTCCATTCTTCTTTGGTTTCCGAAGCCGTGGCTTGGAAGTATACTTGCTTCGTTTCTGAAGGAAGTGACTTGGAAGTATGCGACTACCAAGCCAGTATCCTCGCGATTGAGAAACGGCCATGGTCTGTGTTTACAATAGCAAGCATCGCTAACACTCAGAGCTAACACTGTACTGGAGAGAGTATGTGTAAAAAAGCCGGATATAAACAGGTACTCAGCTTAAAAAACCTGCAAGAGAAAAAGCATTTGAGCTACATACTTTTTCAGAAATAATCCTTGATGTGGTTTGGAACATAATTGAACAGCATTTAACTGTAAGTATCTGGGTAGAAACCTCTCTCTTCATAGAAGAGAGCTCATGCATGCTCCAAAGGGGCGTGGCCAGCAGCAGCTCGGCAACATTTAAAGCTGCGGGCCCAGAATCAGCACTTTTGTAACAGGGCTGAAATACAGGGGTATGAGGTAGGGCTAGAATGGGTGATCTGTTTGGTATTTGGAGCAAAACACTCAATAGAAAGGGTTTTATATATCTGAGACCTATAATATAAGCCTCAAAATAGTATAATAGGAGACCTTTAAAACTGTTGTTTGCAAATTATGTCTCTGGGTTTATGATAACCCAATTGGTATAAATAATTTAATGTCATACATGTTAATATCAGGTTGGAAAATGTACACCCCAGTTATTTAAGTTTTTCTTGTTTCAATGAAAGTGAGCCCACCGTCCTTTCTGTGTGGTCTATAATAGTAATCTCGTTATGCATATTCCTTTATATTTTAAATACAAATGTTACCTGATCCTTTCATCCAAAACATGATTCGCACAATTCAAGTAAGCTGTACTTTTAATATTGTACATTTTTTTAAATATGTTTTTTAATGCTTTTATCTCATTATATGTCAGCAGAGATGTTATTGATATCTGAAATGTTACATACACTGAAAAAACTGAAACGTTGACTTGAAAAAAATGAATTATGTCATGTAATGACAACTTCTGTAGTCCTATTCAACCACGGTTTTTCAGACACGTAAACACTTCAAAAATCACCAGTGGTGTTACTGCTGATGTAGTTAATGTTGTAGAATAAAACGGGATCCGTCTCTTAAATTTGTCTCAACCACCAACCTTATTTCGTGCTATTTTCCAAAAACTAGTTAAAAAAACTAATCGACTCTGAGACGAGGGAACCGGAAGTGATAAAATGCTAACTCACTTCCGGGTTTTAGGACTCGTTCCTGCACCACTCAATAGTCTTGTGTAGTGTCCCTTGTTTCTTCTGCCAGCTTGTTTGGATAAGGTCATCATTTATTTCTCATCCAGACCACAAATCTATGGAGCCCGGGAGGGGCCATCGAGAGAAAAAATAAATAAACGAGGCCACGCTTTACTAATTTGTGCGCTCAAGATGTAATTCGTGGCCCCAATTTAATTAAAACCTTTGCACGTTATAATTAATTTGTGCGGACAAAAAATACAAATTACAGAATTTTGGCAGTGCACAAGGCCAAGTCATTCATACCAGCCGCCACGTCCTTGTCCATGCTTCGGGAGAAAGGCTGCTCTGTTGTGCTGTATAATACATTATATACCGAACTATCTTGTGCGCACACATAAATTAAAACGTGCATACGTTTTAATTAAATTGAGGCCACAAATGCATCTCGTTCGCACAAATTAGTAAAGCTTGGCCTCGTTTTATTTATTCTTTCTCTCGATGGCCCCTCCCGGGCTCCCTACAATTCAAACTCTGGCAGCGTTAAAAGGCATCCACCAACAAATCATTTAACAAACAAACCACACACATTGTCAGCTGTGAATGTTTTGAATTAGTTTGTTTGGAAGCTATGTTTGTTTCGTCATCCAAATGGAAGTTAGCGCATCTGAAAGTTATTTCCCTATTTTATAAATAAGAGTACTGTCTGTTTTCAAGACCCTTTTTTATTACAAACAGCATTAGTGTATTTTCTGCTGGACTGTATACTGGTCATGGTGTATATACAGTATATGCCCTCTGCAAAAAACATATCTCTTTCAACATCAACAAAACTACAACTGAGAACTAACTTGGCCGGAGCAATATTAATACAAAAATATCTGAAAAAAAGCTGAGCAAAGAGATATAATAAAATCGTATTTATGCACATAGAGCTCCTCGAGTGAAGTCTTTACTGACATATTTAATGTTGCAAAAGAAAACTTGAAAGTCTCTTCACCTAACCACAAACCTTATTTCAACCGAAAAATAGTTCAAACAAATTGACTTCGAGACGAGGGATCGGGAAGTTGTTAAATGCTATGAACCGCATACACATACACAAACACCCCATACAATCAAGCCTGAACCCATGTTGTTTTATTCAGTTTGCTTTGGTTATTTATTATTTTTCTTTTGTCTGTATATGTGACCTTGTAGATTGAAAAATACACATTTGCACATGTCTTTTGTACCAAGTACACTGTGATGACAGGTCCCACCTTAAAATGCGGACGTATTATTAGCGGATTGAGTGAGTGTGCAAACATATGAGTAGATATTATTACGTCCAATGGAGACACGTTAATTGACATCAGTTCAATTTAGTGCTCATGACTTAACTTGACACTCATATAGCTGACAGGTTAGGCTTCTTTTTAGTTTCAACATGGTAAACGGAGACTGAACAAATAACCCCTCTTTTTTCATTTCATTCACATTATTTCCTGTTAATTCTTTTGGGAGGTCTCAAATTACAAAGGTCTTTGTAATTAACAGAGTATAGCTTCACATGTGAGGATTAGCAAGGGGAAAAGGGGAACTTAGTCAAAGCATTAAGACTTGGAGTTTCAGATCCACTCAAAACATCTTTGGTTATGATAAATCACGGAATGACAACTGTGGTGTGTGGGAAAGTACAACCTGCTACAAAGCTGGTTGAATATGTAATTAATTCTTATATGAATTAAATATAAGATCATTGTATATAAATATCATGTCCTAAAAACCCTCTGTGAAAGGGTTAAAGTTGTAAGACAAAAACAAAGGAGAGCACACAGATGGGGAAACATGTTAACTGTCATCAAAAGCTAGATAGCGTTATTTTATAAAACTTGTATCTTCTTTACTGTAAATGGGACCATAATCAACACAAAATCAATACATCCAAAAAGAAGTTGGGTCCTTTTCTCAGAGACACACAATCAGACTTTTTTTTGCAAACAACAGAGTTTTAAATGCAAGCGTAGGGCACTTCCACATTGGCTTCACTCTTCACACCCGATTCATGACTTGAATACCTACACAATAGGGGTGTATTAACTTATGTTTGTATTTACTTTATTGGTTTATTTGACAGACTCATGCTTATTGATCAGCAAGTATAAATGAGAGAGTATGGAGATGCAAATTATGTTTTAATATTAACGTGCCACAGCTTCAACTAGCCGGTGAAGAACAGAACATCTTGCTTTTTGGGGCACCTCCATATTCCTTTGAAAACTGTTATGGAAATTGATCACTGTGAGCAGATGCCTGTCTTTGATGCTAGAACCACCTCAGCTGACCCTGAGTTTAAAATGTAACTGAATGACAAAGCAAAGAGTAGGATAAATTAATTGATTGAATGAATTGTTTGGATTAGTCAGTTCACTCCTCACTATAGTAT